GAATCGAACCTGGGACCTTTCAGTCCACAGGCCGACGCTCTATCCAGTGAGCCAAACTGGTTAGGGCTATAGATAGATTTTTATTGATTTCAGAAAGGAAGGAGAGGGAGAGAGAGGTAGAAACATCAATAATGAGAGAGAATCATTGGCTGCCTCCTCCACACCCACACTGGGGATCGAGCCTGCAACCTGGGCATGTGCCCTGACTGGGAATCGAACTGTGACCTCCTGGTTCATAGGTTGACACTTAACCACTGAGCCATGCTGGCTGGGCATCTTTGTTGTTGTTAAGTGTTTTCTGTTATCTTGTCTTTCAAATCACTGATTCAATCCTCTGCTTCCTCTAGTCTGACTTTGATTCCTTCTATTACATTCTTGATTTCAGATATAGTATTTTTCATTTCTGATGGGCTCTTTTAAAATAATTTTACGTCTTTTTTGTTGTTGTTGTTAATTCTCACCCGAGGATATTTTTTCCATATATTTTTTAGAGAGAGTGTGGGGAGAGGGAAGGAGGGAAAAAGAAAGAGAGAAACATTAATATGAGAGAGACACATCGATTGGTTGCATCCCCCTAACTGGGGCTTGGGATTGAACCTGCAACCCGATATGTGCCACTGACAGGGAATCGAACTTGTGATCCTTTGGTGCATGGGCTGATGCTCTAACCATTTAACAGCACAGGCCAGAGTAACATTTATGTCTTTTTTTTTAAGTTCAAAAATAATTTTATTTTTCTTTGAAGGGGTTTTGTAGTTACATGTAAAGTGGTGCCTAGGGAGCTATGAATATGCAAAACATTTAAAAAATTTTATTTTATCTTTATTATTTACTTTTATTAATTTTATTATTTTTAAAATCATTATTGTTGAAAGTATTACATAGGTACACCTTTCCCCCCATTAACTTCTTCCAGTCTGCTCCCATTCCCCCCTCCCAGGCCCTCACCACCTCATTGTCTGTGTCCTCGGATTATGCATATACTCATACAAGTTCATTGGTTGATCTCTTCCCACCCCCCCCCCCCTGCCTTCCTTGTGAGA